CTAAGATTAATGTAATGAATTATATAGCTATTATATTTAAATATTATATATACATAATTTTTTATCAAGTACTTTGTAATTAAATAATTATTAAATTATAAAAAGTTAATAAAGTTATCAAGTTGTGTTTGATGATTATAGAGTGACAATTATATTTTCTATGATTATTCACCTGATGTGTTTACACTTAACAGAGAATCGAATTGTGTTTTACATTCACGCAATTTCACACGCGTTAAAACCACTAACAAATCGAAGAGCATTATAGAAGTGACCGATTATCGGTCGTGTATCGACCTCTCTAAGCGATTTGCATAACGCACGAATAATTATAATCAAAGTAATTAATTGCTCCCCACACATACTATCCGTTCTCACAAATTGTCATCAGTACGACTTGCGAAATAACTTAATCGTGATCTTATGTAGGTTTGCAGTATTATTATTAATTCAATTTGCACAGTTGCATTATACATCAAAGGATAGCTGAAAACATTTTTCAGCCAGCTAGAGACTTTTCTGAGAATGTAAAGTACATCTTTAAGGTAAGACAAATTAAAGCTGGAATTATATGCTCTATCATTCTTAGCAATTTAAATATATTATATCTTATGGAAGTAAGAACTATACTTTCGTCTTAATAAGTTTCTTCGTATATAATTAAATCTAGTCCTAAAATATTCCATCGTATGGAACTTTCATTTTGTAAGAAATTTTTCGCTGGTTCTATCAAGATTAATAGGAATTTTTGTTGTTTTCAAAAACTTAAAAAAATATTTTATGAAAATGAAAAAATACTTAACGTACCTTGTTTGAGAGTAAGTAATTAATTCATTTTTTGCCGGATACTAAAAAAAAAAGAAAAATTTAATTAACAAATAGATAATTTTCCATCAGCGTGCTATATGCGTTTCCAGAATATTAAATCACCAATGGTTTCTTGAAAGTATTTATTCCGCAGTGCATTCATACACAAATCCATTCATTTCATCGAGCGTTTTTCAAATAAATAAAAACACATATAAATGACAATTTTTCGCTTATAGGAATATAAAAAACCTATAGAAAGATAAAATTTTATTGAAGCTAAACTAATCCCTTACGTAACTATATACTATCTACACTCGTTAAATTCTACCAATTTCATGAGCACGCTTTGCTATCTGAGTATTAATCCGAGAGCGTTATGGGATCCCTATGAATTTCGCAAATTGATTTATTTCACAGAAAGATTGACGAATAAAGCGCGTAATGCGGGTGATTGAATAGTGTTTTACTGAAGAATGGCTGACATCCCAGAATGGGACACAACAAACCGATAATGGGTACCTGTTAATTACTCGTTTTAACAAGTCCGGTGTGCGCCGCTGATGGATTCGCGACACCCTGAGGGACGATTCATTACGGCATTGCTCGGAAAGTGGACCGAGCGGAAAAGTTGTACGCTTAATGTGCGCGAGCTAAAGCCGTGCTATCGAACGGATTTTCACCTAACTCTCCTTTTCTTTCTCTCCTTTTTTTTCTCTATTGTATCAGAAAATACTGGCCATTTCTGGCTGGTATGGAGCGTTGAGCGTAAATCCGAAATAGAACAGTGGATAGCGATCGATTGGCAGGGCAATTCGTGAAATTACGTCTCGTGAATGAAGACGAATAGTTTACTACCGGCGTATCGTCTATTTCGTGTGTTCATGACAGCCGAAACTCTATGCACGTGTCGCGATTGTGACAATAGCCATGATCCCGTGTCGTTCAAACACCATCTATTTCCAGTGCTTCAAGCTACATATATAAAATATTTTTTTCGAATATGTGTAAGTGTTTGTTAAAGAGTAATTTTTTTATAGAGTTTACTCTTTATTCATCTAATATCGGTTATAGAGAGATAGATATGTACATTTTTTAATATATACGTGGGCGTATGTGTGTATATGTAAGAGGATAAAAAAAAATAAATATATCTATGATGATATTGATCATTATTTCGATAAATTAATTAGAAAAAGTATTTGGACTGTCAAATGCGCTTTATTCACGCTGATAATTTAACTAAAAAATTCCATGCACTCAAATAGATAAGAGATTAAACATTTGATGTAATAAACGTCATCAAGTAAAGTTTTATATTGTCTCGTCCTGAATATTCCACGCTTCTCTCTGCGCGCAGTTGATATAATTTCAGTAGCAGTATCGTACGCAAAAAGTCCGTAAGTAAACTCCAAACTAAACTTTCAAGCTAAAAACGAGACCCTAAACTCGGCCGGATAGGATAATCGATTAGCTTTGAGCATTTTTATTACCTAACAGCGCAAAAGCGTCCGAGAGAGAGTTACTGTCCAATAAAATTCCTTCCGCCAGAGATATAAGTTGGAGAACGCATTGCATATTCAACGTGTACAGTCGATTGCATATTCGGCACCAAAATTCGCGCGGCATCGCTGATAAATTGTATTACGTTTTTCGTCTAGATTGCAAATCGAAGCACCCGCTTTCGTCTCTCCTTTCCGCCCTCTCATCATCGTCGCTCTCGGCGAAAAAGGGTGTAAAATCCAATTAGAAAATCAAGCGAAAATTTTCCGTTGACTCTCACAAGTAAATATTATTGTTCATTGTATGTTTGCTAATAATAACGAAATAATGTATAAACCGGATCTATGATCTGCCGATTTATCGACATCGCTTTTGAATGTTATTATATAACGATTGTTGTTGTTATTATTATAACTAAAATGCCACCAAAATTATTACAATTATTGTGCCATTTTAAGCATACGCATCGTTAATCCTTCATGCACATGTATGCTCATTGCACGGCTATTAGCAGAGATATTTGAAACAACGTCAATTGCACTCTCTTCGTTAATTATTAATTAATCACTGAACATATTTTATTACAGTCTTACAATATTTATATTTATATATAAGCAATATTTTGCCGAGTTCAACGAGATTTAATTTAATTATTTAAGTAAAATTGTACTAAAATATTAATTAAATTTACTTTTTAGTTATAGAATATAATTATTATGAAATGTAAGAAGATTAGTAAACTAATAACATAATTATAAACAAAATATAAATAATATCAGAATTAATCGAAAATAAGAGATCCTTGATATTAGCTTTATCAATCATAAATATGCTGTTTAATTATTTAATAATGTAATGCGTATAAAATTTTTAATTTAACATTTAAGAATAAATGAAACATAAACTTTCTTCATACGTTTATTTAAGGAATTACAGAATTTTCCCTTTTAGCTTTTCTTCTGTTTGATCAGTTCGCGCGCGCGAGTGTGTCTCTCTAATTATTGCGTTTTTAAGAAATGCAATTTTTCCACGATAAAAATTTTGCAAAAATATTATTCATAAACAAAACTTTGTTAATTAGTTTTAATAAAAGTGAGTTATATAAAAGATAATAATATTTATCATGGATAATTCCATTGTAAATCATTCAAGAATTAGATCCCGCTACAAAGATAGACACGTTTTCTCTCGAAATATCTCGTATGCCTTATCACTTCACAGAAGATATTTAACGATACATTCGCGCACACACACACCGACATGAAAAAAAAAAACAAATGGGTTTCACTTACGGATCTCGGAACTACACTTTAAGGAAACACTGCGTACGAACTTCTTAGGACGAGGGAGTGCTCCCGGGAACGCATCAAAATCTCGCTGCGAGCGCAATGCGCAGTCCTCCTGAATCTCCGCCGAATTTTCCCGGAGGAGGGAATCCTCCTAGCGGCACAATAGATCCGGGAAAATCCGTACCTCGTGCGACTCGATGGTTACGCGCACTTTTACGCGCCGTTTACCGCAATGACGGCGACACGCACGGTGCAGTCACTTCCGGTCCATGTCCCCGTCGCAGGGTTGTTCAACGCCGCCGTATCTCACGGCTCCTCTCGTCGAGAATAGGGAGAGCACCGTCGCGACGATCCGAATAACAAACGACACGCGCGTTTATTCCATCGTCACCTCGCAATCAGTCACTTCGATCCGCTCCATCGATCGCGAAAACGTTCACTCTGAGACGCAGAGGCGAGAGACGTTTTAGCGAACGAATCGCCATTCATTCAATCATTCGCGATCGCGCGATTCACATCCTAACGAGTCGATCGGAGCACTATTGTAAGTACACTGTCGCACTCCCCAAATACGGACGTAGTCGTCGTTGTATATTAAATGCCGTTGTATCAAAATCGATCGACAAATTCAAAAATTACGATACGATACGCGAAAATCACTACCGGAAAGGGGGCAAAGATCGACGATTTCTTTCCTCGATCGATGTCGGGTCCGCCGATCGGACACCGACGAACGAGGTGATAGCGACGACGGTGGAAGGGTGAGGTGAGCCGAATGCGTGTAAATCCAACGTTCGCGAGACACGAACGGCACGTCGTGATGTTGGCGGGCGACTAACCTCCGAGAACTCCGCTCTGCACCCCCGGACGCCGCGCATGCCCCCTACCTTAAAGAACGCACCCCCGCTCTCGCATCCCCGTTCGAGTCACCCTCGACTCGTGCAGCTACTCCCCCTATTCCTCCTCCCCCGTGCGCCTCCACAAACCGCGTTGACTTCATCTTTTTTGACGAGGAAACCGCCACTCTCTTTTCTCGCCTCTCTCGCGCCCTCGTGTATTTACCATATATGTCTACCGTTGCCCCGTCCATCTCCATTTATACCTCTTTCTATTTACATCGCGATCGCACTTCTTCCGATTAGTATGCGCGACGTCATAAGAATTCTTCCATTTCGGTCACCGTGTTCTTGAGGTGACGGGATTTTTTTTTCTTAATTTTAAAATCGTACTATTTGCTTTCTGAACTACAAGAGCGAATAAAAAACTCCTCTAATAACTCACTCTACTGTGGAATGAATCAAGAATGACTCTCTTGTTCGCTTAAATTAAAGTAATCCTTTTTCTTCAGAACTTTAATTTGAGACTCCGGTACAAAGATAATTTATGTTAAATGTTTTACAAAATTGTGTAACAGATAACGATCTTTCACGAAATATGTTAAAAAATCTGCTAAAGAATCTGCTAATGCAAAGGCAGAGAGTTGAAATAATTAATATCATTTATAAATCGCCTTTTTTTTTGATAAATCTCATGTAACAAGGAACAATTAACGGATTTAATTTTTGTTCTACATTTGTAAAAAAAAGAATTGTATATATTTCTGTTTAGAGATATATTTAATGTGAGTAGAGTGTATAAACTATCGTGATCCAATGTTGAATAAAGCTGGCATTGTATCACTACATGTCATGACGCAAATTTGGCGACGAAATATGAAAACATTTTCCGTCCAGGTAGTAAAAAATACGAGCAAAAAATAGAAAATTGCGCAAGGTAATTTCTTGAAAATGTCGCGCGAACGCGTCCCGGGAAAATACTTTTCGTACGCCGGAAAAGCTGTGCTGCGGGATAAACTAAAACAAGTTTTCATTTTTCACCGTACGTTGGCAAACAATAGGTTACCAGGATAAATATTCGGTTGAATCTATCTCGAATTTTTAACGAAAAATGAACAAAACAAATCACAAGACTACGCACGAGACCGTGTATTTCTTAAACGCATTTCATGTGGCCGGTCCAGCCTCTTTAAAAAATTTCATTTTTCATTTTTTATATTGTCACTGTTTTTCTAGCTTTTTTTTTAACGATAGAAATCATACAAAGATTTTTTAATATTGCTTTAAATGGTAAAAAATGAGAAATTTGATAAAAATTTGATACGATAGAAAAATAAAATTATAACAAAATTTTGTTTTTGTATAAAGCAACAAAACTCTACTCGCATAGGATTGAAAAGCCATTAATGTTTCGATACATTTGTTAAGGCAAAAAATTTGACCGCAGATCAAACATGAAACTTTATAGGCGGAAAGTTGCGGCGAAGCAAGACTCTCCGGTATATAACTTCTACCACACCCAAGTAATAATGTGATCGTTTCATTTCGATCGCGCGGCACCGGCGGAACATTTTTCACATCGCCATTCCGGTGCGCGTCATAGAATTCGGGCCAATTCAACCGTCGTATTTTATGAACTATTCGAATATCCGGCACGAGCTTTTTTTCCAAACCTTAATATTTCTTACAATGGCGTTTCTCTTCATAGTTGATTGTAGATTACAGCGTGTGTCGTGTTTTTCGATAACGCGCGCGATAAAGGCTGGATATATACGGTATATCTATACTTGTATTCGCTTTCAGCGGTCTTTTTCTCGGTTTACATCGGACGTTGCGGTACAGGATTATTATTTGTCACGATAACGAGAATGAACGGCGGGTCGTTTTATTATCGATATTTTGTCGCACGATCCATGAGAATCGCGATTCTGCATCGTCGAAGCTCCTACTCGAGAGAACGCGGGATTAAAGGAGAATTTAATACGCCGACTCTGGTATTCTGAAATAATTTAAAATCGGAAGTTCGTTGAGAGACGCAATTCTCCTTCAATTATGGAGAGTAACACTTCGCGCAAAGCAACTCCTCGCTTTCGACGTGTTTTTACGATTTTAAGATCTTTATGAGGAGTCTATTGATTCGCTCGCTGCGAGTACTAGTTGATGCCACTTGTATTTCTATCTTTCCAAATTCATTCAGAAAAAAAAAATATCTTGTTATTTCGACAATTATTACAATAAAAACATATTTCTCCTAATGTGTAGTCTTTCGACAGTAATCTCTTTTATTTATATGTCTTTGTATAACAAAATTATAAAATGTTTTAATAATCTATTTGGTATAATAAAAGAAGAGTAATTATATTTTATTTCTCTGTCCAATTGAATAAATCTCTTTGTTCTCTTCGATCAAAGAACCTCCGATCATTTCTCATCGTGAGAGAGTAACTAAGTGAATCATTAAGTGAATCCTTTACATAAAATCGTCTGCTGTCCGACATAAAATTTATTTCATCTACTATTTGTCTCTTATATTTAACAGCTACTTTCCTTAAATTATTTTCCCATTGCACAAAACATATAAATTTTCGTTAAATATCTATAGTACAGACAAACATTTTATTTGCATATAAACTTATCAAAATTATTTATATATAGAAATATATATACATAGATAAATTAAAATTTTTATCAGAAAAACAAATTCATTCAGAAAAAAAAAATATCTTGTTATTTCGACAATTATTACAATAAAAACATATTTCTCCTAATGTGTAGTCTTTCGACAGTAATCTCTTTTATTTATATGTCTTTGTATAACAA